TGCTATTTTTAATGATTTTTTTGCACTAAAAGAGGGTGTTCAAGATTCTGGATCACAAGACAGGCAGTATGCACTATGGTGGTCTATGGTTTGAGGGTTTATTGGGATATTGTGGTCCTAAGGCTGTCTATGGTTTAGAAAACCAATAAATTTGCCAGTTTTCAAAATGGGGTGTCTACACCAAGCCTGAAACCTATTCGGGGATTTTAGAAATATGGGCAAAAGGGGGAAGAGATTTGGAAAAGATTTGAAATAGGACAAAATAGAACAAATGAATAAAATAAAATGAGTATAAGGCCCTTGGAGATGGAGCCGATTCAAGACCAGTCTGAGCGTAACTTTTCTTGAAATATTAGATATTCTTTGATTGAAGTCAATGTATGTAATGTGGATTTGAGGGCTTTAGGATAAGAGTATGAATTGTAGCATGGATTCAGGTCGGGTCAGTATCAAGGTTCGAACGAGAAGAGTCTGGACATATTAATCAGAAATCTCATGAGTTTTGAAAGTGGCATAGCCTTGGCACCAAAATTCTCCCTTTTAGATTTGGGGGAGGGGGGTTCCAATTTATAAACAAGTGTCATGCCTTATCACCATTCAAATGCTGAGATTGAATCTGGGCCGTTGATGGCCATTGTGGTTGTCGGGGATGTGTTGCAGAAGCAATTGATGTTTAACACTGCAGGAGTCAAGCAGTTCTTCGCTGAGGGTGTAGTTTCCATCGGTGCCAATGATGGTCATAACATCGTTAAATCATGATGATGTCAATTGTCCATCTGGGAACCTGGTCTTGGGTGGTGATTCCTATCAATCAAAAAATACCGAGTAAATACCGAGTGGGCCAAAGAAGTTGCCACTGTTGTTTCTGTTAATGATGGTGTAATCACTAGATGTTAGTTTTCGGCATTCCAATGTCAGACAGATGGTAGCTGCTCTGGCCAATCAAGGATGATGTTGCTAATTGCATTGACCCAATTTGCATTTCTGTTGTCCGTAACAATTTGCCTCATTATGCTGTTGGGTGGTTAAGCCACCATTCTCAACCAATAAGGTGTAGATGTTCTAGTGACCTCCGTTGGTGCAATTGCGACCTTCGTATCTTTGTAATGGTGATGGTTTCTTCATTCCGATGTCAAACGGTTAGATTGCCTTTCTAGCCAATTAGATTGCGACACGTTTTGTCATATGCATCACCTGAGTTGCGTTCATCACCACCTTAAAACATTGGTGGTACTTGTGTTGACAACTATGGTGTTTTAGTTTTTCTCCTTTTTAAGTGCTTGTTTCTTGATGGTGTTTTAGTTTTTCTCTTTTTAAGTGCTTGTTTCTTGCTATGGTGTTTTAGTTTTTCCCCTTTTAAGTGCTTGTTTCTTGCTATGGCTTTCATATAGTTTCATCAATGTTGATTGGGGCGTCTACACCAATAATATGGATTAGTTCTCCTAATCTTGTACACGAAATATGGTATCTCTTCCCTAAAGATGGGGGATGTGACATATAAATAAATTTTCTATCCAACAATCTCTATAGAATTAAGACCCATTCTTACTTTCGCGACACGTGTCTACCTCTTAACTCTAGCTTAATAATGTAGTACATATATGTTTAGATGACAATTAATTTGATTTAAAATATCATATTTTTATTTAAAATTATACTCTAGATAATGCTATTCTGGTAGTTATTTGGTATGTACCTTGTATCATGTATGATATTATTTAAATATTTAATTTTGTTGCGATTTTTAGCTATTATTAGCTATTTCTGGAGAAGAACATATGGGGTTTAGCTATTGAATAAAGTAAAAATAGCCTTTTAAAAATATAAAATTATATGTAAAACTGTATATAAGTTTATCTCAGATAAATTTATGAACGATACAACCAAACAACAAATAACTCGTTATTAGGACTAACTTTATTGAACCAATATCTTATTAGTGATAACAGGTGCATCCAAACAAGCCTTTATAGTTCCAATTTCCAATATGTGAGGAGTCAACATTTCAATCAGGCCTATAATTATGTACCTATTTACTCCCTCCCTCATGAAATCTTCACCTATAAGTAATTTTAAGGCCTAATTTTGGAGATGCAATGTCCAGCCCCAAGAAAGTTCGTAGAAGGAAAAAAAAAAGGTGTAAATTTATTCACATTCTCTTGGTGTTTGAAAAAATAGCATCAACCCACTCCAATTTTGGACGTTTAGATAAAAGAAAAGTCTATAAAGTGACTATTTACCTTTGGTACAAAGATGTTATAATTACTCTTGTGGATTAGATTTCAAATTTGGTGGTTGTAAGAGTGTCATCGACTAGACTCAAAGTTCAAAAACCATTTTATCGAATTTTGTGATACATTGCAAGTCCTCTAATTTGACATCCAATTCTTAGGAGTAATTGTGACCTCCTTGTAATAAGATAAATTGTCTATACAATCCCTTAGATAAAGGACTATAAATTATATACTCATCCAGTGGTTACAAGTTGGATGCCATAAATTTTGTGAAAAGGGCGTGTACTACGCTCACTTGGGCTCATATTTACATTTACTAACTCTGGCAAATCACTTACAAATTTGCTTTAAAATTTTGCAATCCATTTAATTTTTACGAGATGATTATTTAAAAATAACATGAATTTTGAGTTCTTGGACATCTAGATCATTATCTCAAAAAATTGGATGGTTTAGTGCAGTCTTGAGATGCCTTTTTTTAGGCCCATAAAAAGCGAACTTTTTTTTTTTTTTTTGTGAATGTTAATGAGCTTCCGAGTGAAATGTACATAGGTAGGACATAAAAGAAAAGAAAAAATAAAAATAAAATAAAATAAAATAAAAAATATAAAAAACAGCAAAAGAGAATATAGGGGAAGAAGAGAAGAGTGAGGAGGAGTCACGCCAACGAGACTCTTAACCGATTTAGTCTGAAGATCTGCATTGAGGTTCCTCTCCCAATTAACATGATTGAAGCGTATTTCCCAGCCTCGTAGTTTGTGAAGTATATATTTATAATCAAGCTCCAATGCCAGTTGTCTGGCGCTTTGCACCAATTGATCACATTAGATGAGTTTCCTTCTATTATCACTCTTGCATACTCCTTAGTCAATTTAAGAAACCCATAATACAATGCCAAAAACTCAGCCTCGTTCATCATGCAGGAGTGAAGATATCCATGATAGAATCAAAGCAAATTCCCTGAAGAGTCACGTACCAGTCCTCCATAGCCAACCATTTGGCCATTTCCACTTACACTTCCATCAAAGTTTAATTTGTAGCATTCTTGATCTGGTCTGATTATCCTCTTCTTTGAAGTGGATAACAGTTCCCTACAATGGGTGAGTAAAAATGCTTTCGGCGTAGCTAGAAATGTTGGTTGTGCTTATACCCAGTGAGTTATGGACGAGTGGATGACATTACATATATGTTCTTTATTTCTAGTTCTGTCCTTCAAATTGCCTTGATATGTGAGCTAGATCAACTCAAGTCTCTTGCGGAGCCAGTTAAATTTTTAAAATCAATAGAAAGGGTGGGGTTGCTCAAATTATAAGTTTAGGGGCATAATAGATCTTTGCAAATCCGGTCCTCCTCTAAACCTATTGGCAGCGTCAATTCCAAAATCTTTTTATTTGGACGTTTAAAAAGCTAAAATTCTAACTAAATCTAAAAATAAATAAATAAGTAAAACAATAAGGATAAAATAAAGAAAGATATCTGGAAAACGCGGATTTGAAGCCCGCATCAGGACCAGAGGTTGAGTTGCATTTTTGATGCCTTCTCTTGCTTTCTTGAGATTTTCCCTAATTTTATAGGGTTTTAGGATTTTTTCTATTTTTTAGGTATTTTGGACAAATTTTTTAATTTTTTGGGCCTTTTTACGTTTTCTTTAATTTTTTAGGATTTTCCTTTTGAAATTTTTTGGGAATTTTGTAATACTTCTAGGGTTTTTCCTAAGGATTTTTGGACTTTTTTTGTTTTTTTCCATAGAATTGGAGGGGTCTTTATAGGTTAGACTAGAATTAGGCTTGAAATTAATTGTTCTAATATGCCAATCTTTAGATTTTTTTGGAATTCCATATTAAAACTGACTTAGAAATCCTAGTCAAAAGAGGATTTGGGGTCCCAAAATGCGTATGGTCCCATCATGCCGCATGTGATGCGGCCCAACGAGAGTTGGGCCGCGCGACACGTATCGAGTCGTGCAAAGGACTGAAATGTTATTTTCATCAACAATGTTCCTCAAGCTATAACTTTATAATCGTAAGCCAAATTCAGATGATTTTTGGACCGTTGGAAAGCTTGTGATGTCATTTTATAATTTGGAGTCAAATTTGGTTAACTTTGAGGGGTCTATAAGGCTAGAACTTCAGGGTCTTGGTCTTGGTTTTAGGTTTTGGGTGTCGGATTAATATTCGGGTCTGTTTTATGGGGTTAATAAGGCTCATAGGTATCTATAGTGACTATTTGAATATATTAGGATAGGTTTTGGATGATCTTGGGATAATTCTAAAGGTCTAAGTTCACTATAGCTCACCAGGCATAGTGTGCCTCACTCTCTATACTTCTAGAGAGTTTTTTTTTTCTCCTTCGAGGATGGTTACGGGGTTCTTGAGATCATATCCTAAAATTTGGGATTTAAAGATAATCGTATTGTAAGTTTTTAGGAACTAAAAGAAATGGAAAAGTATAAAATGACACCATTTACCTGTAGTATAGGGTAGTCACATTAATCTTGACCATTGAATGTGAAATTGGGTGGCTGCAATTATTATATTGACTAAACTCAAACTTCGAAAGAAAAATTGGGTGGCTGCAATTATTATATTGACTAAACTCAAACTTTGAAAGAAAAATTGGGTGGCTACAATTATTACATTGACTAAACTCAAACTTCGAAATAAATTTTCTTAAACTTTATGACCCATCGAAGCTATCAAATTAGAGATTAAATATTTGTAAGTAATTGTGACCTTCTATGGTAAATTGCCTACAATCCCAAAAGATATTCATGGCATAAGTTTTGTCCGAGGGAGAAATAGACAGTACAGGGAGTAAGTGTACAAAGTGCTCCCATAGGGGCCTCTCAGTGACCTTCTCTCAGTCTCTCCCGCCGATAGAAAGCCCAGTTCTGGGAATCCCAACCCTGAGTCTTTGTCTCTCTCTCACTCATCAAATGGTGCTGTCCAACAAGAAGCTGAAGCAGAAGCTCAGAGCTGCTCTTGCAGTATCAGCAGGCAAAGTTGCTGTTGCGGAGTCAGCAGGCAAAGCTGCTCTCCATCATCCTCAACTTAAACCAAATGCCGAAAATGAGACTAAGTTCGAGTCTGGATCATTCATGGAGCTTCTTGGGTCTGTTTCTAAAAGACCCACTTCGTCAAAGAGAGGAAAGAGGAGAGAGAAAGCGGCTTCTCATCGCTCCGCACCTGTAGAAAGCATGGAGGAGGCCCAACAAGTTGGGAAAGAGGAGCATTCTTTTTCTCTTGTGGTGAACTCTGAGAAGATGAGTAAAAAGAAGAGAAAGAGAAATGGAGATGGAAGTGTTGATAATGGGGCTGCTATTCTAGAAGACAAATCAAAATCAGAGGAGGAAGAGAAGAACCCCACGAATAACATGAAGAAGAAAAAGAATAAGAAGGAGAAGAGGAAGAAGATGAAGAAGAAGAACGAGTTGGCTAACCCTAGTGCGGCAGAAGAAGCAAAGGATCAGACTCTCACAGACACCAAGAGGTAAGATTTCAGAGAACCCATGCTTATTCATTGTCGAAACTAATATTGGAGAAGTGGGTTTTCATGGTTCTGTGTGACTAGTTTCAAATGTGTGAAGAAAAGATTTTAACTTAAGGAGATGCTGATTTTATTTGAAGATTTGTGCATAGATAAGGGGTTATTGAAGGTGAATTATGGAAATTTTATTATTGGCCTTCAGTCTGATCTTTCCCTTTTTATAGTCAGGAAAATTTTGGTTATGAGAGGAAGGTGTATGTGGGGGGAATTCCCTACTATTCGAGTGAGGATGATATAAGGAGCTTTTTTGAGGGGTGTGGCACCATAACCGAGGTAGACTGTATGTCGTTTCCTGAGAGCGGGAAGTTTCGTGGAATCGTTATAATTACTTTCAAGGTTTGTTCCTGGTTTTCTTCCTTGAGTGGATTGTCTTACATGCTTGCTTTTGCGAAAGATGTTGACTTGAAGTTATGTTGCTTTTCCATATTCTTTTAGATTACTGGTTTTATAGAGTTTGACTTTTGAGTAGGATGGAAAATTCCCCTTGTTATCATAATTTATAGGGATTATACATATGATAACAAGCTGGGATTGGTTACAATCATAGCAAATCATGAAGCATGTTAGTCACAAAAACTAGTCAGATTTTAGAGACCTGAATGTTGGTCAGGTGGATTTCTGCATTCATTTGGTTCCATGACTAGTTGCTAGAAAGGTATTGTTACAGGGAATGTTGTTTGACTAAGCATATAAAATTTCACTGTCTCATTTATGTGTTGATGCATTTTGAAGACATTTGTCCTATTTCGTCGAAGGACATTGAATTCAATGTTTAGATTTTACAGAGTTCATTGTTTAACTTTTACAGAGTAAGGGAAGGCATGATTTTTGGAATGCATATGATCATTTATTTCATTTTTTTTCTTGTTCTTTTTGCTTTTAATGGACATGGTTGTAAGGTATATCTGTGCAAGGCTATCTAAGACTATCATCACCATAATGAAAATCTAACCAAATAGTTATTGTTATTATTTTCTAACCAAAGAACTACTAGATTTTATAAATAAGCCAAGCCGTGATTTTTGGATTTCTTATGATCATTTTATTCTTTTTGTTCTTTTTTTTTCTTTAATGGACATAGTTGCAGGTGTATCTTTTTTTTTGTTTTTTAAGTACCATTCACCATCATAACTATCTAAGCATATGGTTACCTCTAACAAGTAAAAACATAGTATTAGTGGAGCCAAACTTTGGATGGATTGAAATTTGAATGTTTGCATTAGTTGATAGATAAAATCTCTTTGGCTGTTTTAGCATGACACACGTATGCATTTGGGGAATGTTGTAGATCACATACATAATTTTCAAACTTTTGAGGTTTGTTAACTTTGGATACGGGGTATATTTTAGGGAATATTCTTTACAAGTTTAATTCAGCCGCATAAGCTTAGTTCTTATGATGCCTAGCCTGTAATAGTCAAATGGCAATTATCCTCCTGTTTTATTATGAAGATTACTCTTCACTTTTCTTGAGTTCTTTAGTACATGTTGAGGCATAAGCTCCGGCAGCTTTTTAAGTTTTGAGTGGTTACACACATCAGAGACTTAGATACCCACCAATATGTGTGTTTGTTATGTGTAGAGAACAGAGTGAGGGGAATATTCTGACTTTCTTTTTTTTCTTTTGGTATTTTTGTGGTGAAGGGGTCCCCTACCCATGGTAGGAATTGAAGTCAAGACATCAATGTTGTGGCACCCTGCCACCCTGGTCACCTAGCCTTGAGTCCATACCTAAAAAAAAACCACACATATTGGTCTGTGGTCAAAGTTCTAACATGTGCCACAGAGACGCTCTTAAAGTGCACCCTGCATATCAAAGTTGAAACTCTGTGGTCCTCTGATGCTATTTTCATATTGCTTGATCAAGGAGCAGCATAAAGATTGGGGGCTTCGTTTTGACATTTCTCAGCTGCTTTTTTCTACATCCAAATACATTTTTGCATCTCAACTCAATGATGCTTTAAGAGCACTGAATTACATTAAAAATCTGCTCATGAGAACATGCATGAATGAGTGTTTGGAAAGTCTAGTTATGACTCAGACTTGCCCATTGGGCATGCAGAATTTCTCTTATAACCTTTAACAGAACCTCACAAAATAAAAACTGCAATGAATAGGAATGACATAGTCACTTGTTTGACATGTGATTTCTCAATTTTTTTGAAAAGTGAATTTCATAGATTTGACTTGGGTCTAGGAGTTGTTGGCTATTACGGGTCCATGACTGGTGGGCCATGTGCTGGTAATAATTTACTTCTTGCACACTTGTATTTGTGACAAAGAAGATTCTAAACGAGCTGCATAATTCTATTGTTGAATTTCTACGTCATACATTTCACTCAAAAGAAGTTTGCTTACATTGGCAATCTAACATTTGAAAAGGTACCATCTATGTCAGATAATACTCACTGCTAAATCGATTGAAGAAACTTCAATTCGCTTTTGAGAGGATCAGTTTGACCGCAGCTGTATGCGTGTTTCTAATAGCTATAGTAATTGTTTGCTCTAATTCACAAGAATTCATATACAATGTAAAAACCAGGTCAAAGAGTGCAGTTGCTTGTTTCACAAAATTTGTATTCAACTAGTCCACGACTGTGGAATGCATTCATCATGTGTGTCTCAGTTTGGAATTTTTCATGTCGACACCTTATAAAGATTGACTGCATATTATTTTGGAAATAAGGCATATTTTAATCTCTTCTCTTTGAATCTGTTGCATATTTTAATTTCTTACTTCATAGTCCTTAGCTTTTACTTGACAAAAAAAGAAAGAAAATCTTGACCCTATATATGCAGCTCCACTTTATTTATTAGGACTTTGTTGTGTTAATAATATTATTTTATCTCCAAACCTCTTATTATAGATTAGGATGAACTCTTTTGTACAATAAAAATTTGTAATCAAAATCGTTACTTTAATTGAGGATAAAAAATTTACTCCAGAAAAATAAGGTATTTGTCTTTATCCATGTATGTGGGGAAACCATATTCTTGAATACTCTATTGTGCAAGGAGAGATTCCTAGTTTGTAAGGAAAGCAATAAAAACCTATGGTTTTCACTAAGTCAAACAAAATGTATGGAGTTTGTTTCCTGGTGATGACTGATACACATAAATTCTACAAATTTAGTATATGCAGTACAAATTCAAATACAACTTAAATCATAACTAATGTAAAACATGGGAACCGCTACATTACATAGTAACTGTTTAACTGAGAACCGCTACATTACATAGTAACTGATAAACTTAAACTAAGAAAAATTCATGCATGAGAGTGCTAATGCCTATTAGGGACATGTATTGTCTTTTGCTTCAGGATATCCTGCTACATGTTATAAGTCATTTGTTCTGCCCACATCGTTTGCATCTGCTGTAGTTTAGAGTGTGGATCTATTTTGACGCTAGGTGCACCTAACTTGTTTTTCAGAGTCTTGATTGGCAATATTCATGGTGGGTGAGGGACACTAAAGGATAGCTATGACATTTCTATTGGCTGGATGCACTCTGAATGCATAGAGTTCTTAATATTTCTATGTGATGAACATCCTTTGCATGTAATTGTAAGTGTCCCCTCCTCGAGTGCACATTTTGTCATGAGAACATTGTGAACCCTCGACCTCACTTGATTCATGGTTTAGAATGCATGGCTAACTTCCAAATGCTGTGCATCTGTTTAACGTCTAATGTGCACCTCATGTTCTATGTCACTTGGTGTACTAGAATATAGCATAAGGAGTGCTTTGTTACTTCTTGAAAGAAAAATCGTTGTCAGTAGACATAACTGCAAGCTGCCAAATCCCAATATCTTACGAAACATCTCCACTAATCAAGAATATAACTAAGTTGTGGAGCAATAGGCATGTTTCAAACTTCATCCATCCATTTATTTAAACTTTCTAGAATATTTGAAGTGATTTGGCTATATGGCTGTATCAAACTCCCTTGAAGAGGGATCACGGACCATTGTTGTGTTTCATTGTCCCTAATCCACTTATATGCGCCATAATCCACTTGTATGTGCCTAAGATACAATTCTCGATATCATTCATTTGATGTGTGAAAATTTATTGATGTTGATGCTCTGCTAACCTTCTAGCATTCCATTCTTGGGTGGATCGATGTACCATTTTGTGATTTGGCACTATGGTGATTCATGCAAATACCCTTGAAACGAATATTGGAAAATTGTTGGAGCACCATTTGATGATGTCCTTTTGTCTATAATATACAAATTTAACCCAACTCCCAAATCTCTTCTACCACGCCCTTCAATCCCTTTTCCTCAATAACGTAGTAGTAATTGCTAGTAATAGAAATTTCTTCAATTTCTAAAAAAAAAAATGTAATTTCTTCAAGGTTGTTGCCAAAAGAAAAATGCCTCCAAAATTCACTAAAGGATGTGTGCCATCTTTAGAAAAAAGTAAAAAGAAGTAATTTTCTGCATGAACTTGAGAAACTTCTGGCCTCTGTGCTGGAACTTATAGACTGCCATTTGAAAACACTATCTAGTTGTTGGTGGGGTTGTGCACTTCTGGGGACTACTCTTTGTACCTCAGAGCTATACTTTTAAACAATAGTGCTCCATCAAGAAACCATGGTATTTTGTGGGGTATTGTTGTTCCTCTTTCAGGTCTTTAATAAATCAATGTAATTACACGTATTGTATCGACATTTGTGATGCATTTGGTGCATACTCTAGAAGTTGTTTTACTTGGCCCTTTATTATATCTTCGACCAATTGCTATTCACTTATCCATTCCAATGGTTTTCTTGTCTATTGTGGCCATGGATGCCATTTTGATTGGTAGTCTTATATGTATCTTGGATAAATATCAAAGGAAAAAAGTTCTTCAATATACCCATGGCTATACCTTCCACAACCTTGGTTTTCTGCTTGTTGATAGTCGTAATTTTGGAGGATCGAATCACTATGAAGGTATATTTGTCCCTATTGCAAATGCAGTTTTCGAGGTGGTCTAATAAGGATGAGGACCTTTAACTTTCCCTTTACCTGTCCTAAGCCGGGTAAAGGTGGGTTGCATTAGGTTCCAGTATAAAATATTGCCACATCTTATCATGAATCTCGAATCTATGTTTTCTTATTGAGGGTATGGCCCTTGATAGAGAAGAATGGAGGAACATGATTCATGTAGCCGATCCCAAATAATTGCGATAAGATTTGGATGATCATGATGATGCTTTTTGCGATGACATAATTACAGTCCCACTTTGATGGACAACCATTTATAGTTTAAATGGTTTAGACATCATCCCACCACCTTCCCCCCCTTCCCCCCACAAAACAACAACAACCAACAAAAGAAAACATA